ATCTATCACCAGCGGGAGCGTTATTAAGGCTTTCTGATTAAATAATTTATTATGCATCCTGTGGGCGGTAGTGCACCCCATACCCATCCTGTGGGCGGTAGTGCACCCCATACCCATCCTGTGGGCGGTAGTGCACCCCATACCCATCCTGTGGGCGGTAATGCACCTCATACCCATCCTGTGGGCGACAGTGCACCCCATACACATTCTATGGGCGGTAGTGCACCCCATACCCATCCTGTGGGCGGTAGTGCACCCCCATACACATCCTGTGGGTGATAGTGCACCCCATACCCATCCTGTGGGCGATAGTGCACCCCATACACATCCTGTGGGCGGTAGTGCACCCCATACCCATCCTGTGGGCGGTAGTGCACCCCCATACACATCCTGTGGGTGATAGTGCACCCCATACCCATCCTGTGAGCGATAGTGCACCCCATACACATCCTGTGGGCGGTAGTGCACCCCATACCCATCCTGTGGGCGGTAGTGCACCCCCATACACATCCTGTGGGTGATAGTGCACCCCATACCCATCCTGTGGGTGGTAGTACACCCCATACACATCCTGTGGGTGGTAGTGCACCCCCATACACGTCCTGTGGGTGATAGTGCACCCCATACCCATCCTGTGGGTGGTAGTACACCCCATACACATCCTGTGGGCAATAGTGCACCCCATACCCATCCTGTGGGCGGTAGTGCACCCCATACCCATCCTGTGGGCGGTAGTGCACCCCATACCCATCCTGTGGGCGGTAGTGCACCCCATACCCATCCTGTGGGCGGTAGTGCACCCCCATACCCATCTTGTGGGCCGTAGAACATCCTATACCCATCCTGTGGGCGGTAGAACATCCTATACCCATCCTGTAGCCGGTAGTGCACCCCCCATACCCATCCTGTGGGCGATAGTGCACCCCATACCCATCCTGTGGGCGATAGTGCACCCCATACACATCCTGTGGGCGATAGTGCACCCCATACCCATCCTGTGGGCGGTAGTGCACCCCATACCCATCCTGTGGGCGGTAGTGCACCCCACATACCCATCCTGTGGGCGGTAGTGCACCCCATACACATCCTGTGGGCGGTAGTGGAAAGGACGTTACCACATACTGGACTCAGGAACTGAACCCTAAAATTCATTTAGCTAAGCAAGATACAGTCTTGATGTGCAGGCGATGAGTCACAATAACGTGGCTGAAGTATGTTGACCATACCACACACTAGAAGGTGAAGGGACGACGACGTTTCGGTCCGTCCTGGACCATTCTCAAGTCGACTGTGATCAATCTACAGTCTTGATACACTGTTTAATGTATACATCAACCCATGGGTGGACAACGAGCACAAGAGTAGTCTCTAAACTAAGCAACTTACGCAGACGACGAGTCTCAATAACCCGGCTGAGAATATAATGACCAAACATTTCACACCAGAATATGGAGACATTTTCTGATGTTTGGTCTGGTCACATAAGTCCGTTCTGGACCATTATCAAGCCGTGTAAGGTATGATAGGTGAGTGATAGAGATTAAGCCTCCCATGAGTGGCACGGGCATGAGTAGCCCGCAAATTAGACAGGAAGGTACAGGAAATATATAAGATAAGTGAGTAAGATGAGTGGTGAGGAGAAGGTAAGAGAAATGTAAGAATAGGATGAATGTAAGAATAAGGTAAGGATATACACCAGCTACAGTCTGAACGACACCAAGCTCCTTGATGTCTGTCAATATCACGCTACTGCTGCTGCTAGTTATTGCTCCTTGATATAATGGTAAAGGAGTAGAGTTGGTGTTTGTGCTCCTAATATAAAATGTTCACTGTGTGATTCAGAATCTACAGCACATTATGCTGCGTTTCTAAGGAGACCCGCACGTATATCTTGCTAATATTTTATAGTGTGTGTCATAGAACAATAAAGATGTTTTATAACTTGCAATAATGGCGCAGTGGAATGTCTTAGCGCTGCGACACCTTCCTTACTCGTCTTCTGGGAAGTGTCGACCCGGCTGGTGTAAACTGCGAGAGCCATATTAATTTATTTTTGTTCCCATAATGATATGGTCATAGTCTCCAGCAGGTGTTCAGGTTATATTGTCACAATAATATATTATTGGTTGTTGTTAGTGTGGCTATATGTGTAATATGTTACGTATGTAGGCGGGTATTTGGTCTGTGTGTCGACATGTTTGAGTATGTTGATAAATTGTACCGTGCATTCATCAACGTGCATTTCCATACATTATTTCTAAGCAAGGAAATATGCACTGATGAATGTATAGTTTGTGTGTGTGTGTGTGTGTGTGTATGTGTGTGTGTGTGTGTGTGTGTGTGTGTGTGTGTGTGTGTGTGTGTGTGTGTGTGTGTGTGTTTGGCAACCAGTACTCACCCGACTTTTTTTTTCAAGGCCGAGCATCAGTTCCTGGGCGCTGCCTTCCCAAATGTTGGTTGTGTAATTTAGAGACTCGCGAACCATTTGTAACTTATCATATAGTCTTTTTAAATTAAACTGAGGTAGATTCCAAGATCATTTCACTTGCTTACTGGCGTTACACTGAAGAAATGCTTCCTTACATCCCCGCGGCGCATCTCCAGGTCTTGCTCCTATGTATATCCTCCAGGTCCACTACTGTACTGGTCTTTTATGTGTATGACTCGTATTTCCTCGAGTTCTCATTTCTCTGAGCGTTTAAATTGTTCCATTGCTGTATTTTGGTTCTAAATTGGTTAGCTTTCAACTTTCTAACTTGTTATGTATCACAATGTTTTGTCGCTCTTTTTTTTGTATTGTCCGGGTTCTTTCAGTTTCGGTCCAGACCCACGGCCCTGGAGGAGTTCGGTGCACAAGTGATCAGTCATTAGTGATCTTCGATTATTTGAGCGACTTTTATACGGAATAAGTGTGTTGCTTCTATGACACTCCACGTATGGCAACTGCTGATGGCAGACATGAGGATGGTCAAGCTGAAGGAGGCCACACAGATGGCTGCTGATGGCAGACATGAGGATGTTCAAGCTGAGCCAGAGGCCACACAGATAGCTGCTGATGGCAGACATGAGGCTGGTCAAGCTGAGCCAGAGGCCACACAGATGGCTGCTGATGGCAGACATGAGGATGGTCAAGCTGAGCCAGAGGCCACACAGATGGCTGCTGATGGCAGACATGAGGATGGTCAAGCTGAGCCAGAGGCCACACAGATGGCTGCTGATGGCAGACATGAGGATGTTCAAGCTGAACCAGAGGCCACACAGATGGCTGCTGATGGCAGACATGAGGATGTTCAAGCTGAACCAGAGGCCACACAGATAGCTGCTGATGGCAGACATGAGGATGGTCAAGCTGAGCCAGAGGCCACACAGATGGCTGCTGATGGCAGACATGAGGATGGTCAAGCTGAGCCAGAGGCCACACAGATGGCTGCTGATGGCAGACATGAGGATGGTCAAGCTGAGCCAGAGGCCAGACTAGATCTACAGTACCGTACGAGCTACTGGTATGAGCACTAGACCTCCTCCGGAAGTTTTAACGGTCAACTTTTCAACTGTGCACTGTTACGAACATATCTCCTGAGTAGATGTATAATGGGAGACAATCTTTATAACAAATTATCTGTTAATACAGAGAAGTTGTGTGTGGGCATTTGAGAGTGTTTTTCATGAAAGAAATCTACAGCTGGCAACTGGGAGGCCGCGGGTGACTGAGGACTCCGCCCAGCAAAGTAGTACCTGAGCTGGAGGCGACGAGTCACAATAACATGGCTGAAGTATGTTGACCAGACATACACTAGAAAGTGTATGTCGCTCACTAGAAAGTGAAGGGACGACGACGTTTGGTCCAGGACGGACCGAAACGTCGTCGTCCCTTCACTTTCTAGTGCGTGGTCTGGTCAACCTGAGCTGGAGATTGTCAGGAATAATGTATAGTTGTAAGGCAAAACTGTGAAGGAAAAGTGGATTTAATCACATAACCTGCACAGGGAGCATGGTTAATGGAGTCATTAAAGGAGGGGGGGGGGGGTTTGACGGATAAAGTATTCATGGGTGAGTGACGCAAGAGGGACGGACGCCATCTTGACCCGACGCCAGGAGGAACGGAGTCGACCGATTCTTGCTTTACTGAGGGATTTCTCTTGCCAGACCTTAAGATAAGCCACCGGGTTGTAGTACACAGGGTGCAAGACGGGGTACAGTATATTGACGGTCTACTGACTAAGTTGCTAAGGGAGAGTCCAGTTTTCCTGGTTATATATATGTGACACTTATGCTGACAGGTATGGACGTGGTTGTGTGCACAGTTCCAGTGTTGGGACTGAGAGTAAGAGGGTGACCAGAGCCCTGGGTGGAGGATAAGATACTGTGTTTTAACATTCAGAATTACCTTGAGCAGAGCCGTCTTACCGCATGAGCCCGATGGGCACTTGCCCGGGGGCCCCAGGAGCATAGGGGCCCCATGAGCATAGGGGGCCCCAAGACCATACGGGGCCCCATGAGCATAGGGGGCCCCAGGAGCATAGGGGCCCCATGAGCATAGGGGGCCCCAAGACCATACGGGGCCCCATGAGCATAGGGGGCCCCAGGAGCATAGGGGGCCCCAGGAACATAGGGGGCCCCAGGAGCATAGGGGGCCCCAGGAACATAGGGGGCTCCACGAGCATAGGGGGCCCCACGAGCACGGGACATGTTCATTATGGAAGCAGAATTTTTACATATTTAGGTCTTGTTGCAAGCACACTTATATAATATAACCCTGCATCTTGGTGTGGGACTTAATGCTAAATATTTAAAATATATATTTCCAGGTGAATATAACACTTTCAGCACAAATGAAACGTAATGTTTTGAGTGGAGCAGAGAAGAGGAAGAGAGCTGCAGAGGGAAAGGAGAAAATGGGAAAATTTCCCAAATTAACATCGTAGCTCAACACAGGTGCAACGACAGCCACTCATACCAGTCCTTCAGATACAGCAACCACATCAGCCTCCACACCTACAATGTCAGCCACTAGTACTGTTCCTTCAGATACAGCAACCACATCAGCCTCCACTCCTACAATGTCAGCCACTAGTACTGGTCCTTCAGATACAACAACCACATCAGCCTCCACACCTACAATGTCAGCCACTAGTACCGTTCCTTCAGATACAGCAACCACATCAGCCTCCACACCTACAATGTCAGCCACTAGTACTGTTCCTTCAGATACAGCAACCACATCAGCCTCCACTCCTACAATGTCAGCCACTAGTACTGTTCCTTCAGATACAGCAACCACATCAGCCTCCACTCCTACAATGTCAGCCACTCATACCATTCCTTCAGATACAGCAACCACATCAGCCTCCACTCCTACAATGTCAGCCACTCATACCAGTCCTTCAGATACAGCAACCACATCAGCCTCCACACCTACAATGTCAGCCACTAGTACTGTTCCTTCAGATACAGCAACCACATCAGCCTCCACTCCTACAATGTCAGCCACTAGTACTGGTCCTTCAGATACAGCAACCACATCAGCCTCCACTCCTACAATGTCAGCCACTAGTACCGTTCCTTCAGATACAGCAACCACATCAGCCTCCACTCCTACAATGTCAGCCACTAGTACTGGTCCTTCAGATACAGCAACCACATCAGCCTCCACTCCTACAATGTCAGCCACTAGTACTGGTCCTTCAGATACAGCAACCACATCAGCCTCCACTCCTACAATGTCAGCCACTAGTACCGTTCCTTCAGATACAGCAACCACATCAGCCTCCACTCCTACAATGTCAGCCACTCATACCAGTCCTTCAGATACAGCAACCACATCAGCCTCCACTCCTACAATGTCAGCCACTAGTACCGTTCCTTCAGATACAGCAACCACATCAGCCTCCACTCCTACAATGTCAGCCACTAGTACTGGTCCTTCAGATACAGCAACCACATCAGCCTCCACTCCTACAATGTCAGCCACTAGTACTGTTCCTTCAGATACAGCAACCACATCAGCCTCCACTCCTACAATGTCAGCCACTAGTACTGGTCCTTCAGATACAGCAACCACATCAGCCTCCACACCTACAATGTCAGCCACTAGTACTGTTCCTTCAGATACAGCAACCACATCAGCATCCACTCCTACAATGTCAGCCACTAGTACTGGTCCTTCAGATACAACAACCACATCAGCCTCCACTCCTACAATGTCAGCCACTAGTACCGTTCCTTCAGATACAGCATCCACATCAGCCTCCACACCTACAATGTCAGCCACTAGTACTGTTCCTTCAGATACAGCAACCACATCAGCCTCCACTCCTGCTACCAATCATCCAGTTTCAGCAGACATGCCATCATTGCCTGTTGTTGCTGCTGGTGACACAAGAGGAAATACCAAAATCTGTAACAATAAAGAAGTTTGCAATCCTCGAGACAGACCCGGGGCTATGGAACATTAATGATACTAACACAATAGATTACTGGATTCATGGTGGGTTCTCATACTGGATTCATTACTGGATTCATGGTGGGTTCTCATGAATCCCCATGAATCCATGGGGATTCATGGTCAGAATCATGATAGCAACCTTTCAAACTCACGCAGCGTGTATAAAACACCTGGAATGGAGAATATGAAGGCCAGGTATTTATCAAACAATGAGTTCAAACGTGAACAGCGGAATGGCGAGTATGTAAAACGCGAATGGCTACTCTATAGACCATCCCAAGGTCGTTTGTACTGCTTTGTATGTCGCCAACTGTCCCAGAAAGAATATCTGTTGTTACATTGGGGTTCAGTGACTGGAAGCACAGCAATGTTATTGTAGAACTTGAAAATGGAGAACATAGATAGGAGAATTGTTGTTGTTGGCGGCGTGACGACACGACTGCTGATGCTCCTCCAAATTTGTCAGCTGCTCCGTGAGCCCACAGCTGCTCTGTGAGCCCACAGCTGCTCTGTGAGCCCACAGCTGCTCCCTGAGCCCACAGCTGCTCCGTGAGCCCACAGCTGCTCTGTGAGCCCACAGCTGCTCCGTGAGCCCACAGCTGCTCTGTGAGCCCACAGCTGCTCTGTGAGCCCACAGCTGCTCCGTGAGCCCACAGCTTCCCACAGCTGCTCTGTGAGCCCACAGCTGCTCTGTGAGCCCACAGCTGCTCTGTGAGCCCACAGCTGCTCCCTGAGCCCACAGCTGCTCTGTGAGCCCACAGCTGCTCTGTGAGCCCACAGCTGCTCCGTGAGCCCACAGCTTCCCACAGCTGCTCTGTGAGCCCACAGCTGCTCTGTGAGCCCACAGCTGCTCTGTGAGCCCACAGCTGCTCTGTGAGCCCACAGCTGCTCCGTGAGCCCACAGCTGCTCCCTGAGCCCACAGCTGCTCCGTGAGCCCACAGCTGCTCCGTGAGCCCACAGCTGCTCCCTGAGCCCACAGCTGCTCCGTGAGCCCACAGCTGCTCTGTGAGCCCACAGCTGCTCTGTGAGCCCACAGCTGCTCCCTGAGCCCACAGCTGCTCTGTGAGCCCACAGCTGCTCCCTGAGCCCACAGCTGCTCCCTGAGCCCACAGCTGCTCTGTGAGCCCACAGCTGCTCTGTGAGCCCACAGCTTCTCCGTGAGCCCACAGCTTCTCCGTGAGCCCACAGCTTCTCCGTGAGCCCACAGCTTCTCCGTGAGCCCACAGCTGCTCCGTGAGCCCACAGCTTCCCACAGCTGCTCTGTGAGCCCACAGCTGCTCTGTGAGCCCACAGCTGCTCTGTGAGCCCACAGCTGCTCTGTGAGCCCACAGCTGCTCTGTGAGCCCACAGCTGCTCTGTGAGCCCACAGCTGCTCCGTGAGCCCACAGCTGCTCCGTGAGCCCACAGCTTCCCACAGCTGCTCTGTGAGCCCACAGCTGCTCAGTGAGCCCACAGCTGCTCTGTGAGCCCACAGCTGCTCTGTGAGCCCACAGCTGCTCTGTGAGCCCACAGCTGCTCTGTGAGCCCACAGCTGCTCTGTGAGCCCACAGCTGCTCCGTGAGCCCACAGCTGCCCACAGCTGCTCTGTGAGCCCACAGCTGCTCTGTGAGCCCACAGCTGCTCCGTGAGCCCACAGCTGCTCCGTGAGCCCACAGCTTCCCACAGCTGCTCTGTGAGCCCACAGCTGCTCCGTGAGCCCACAGCTTCCCACAGCTGCTCTGTGAGCCCACAGCTGCTCCGTGAGCCCACAGCTGCTCCGTGAGCCCACATCTGCTCCTTGAGCCCACAGTTACTCACAGATGATGTAGCATCCCCAGGAGGCAGCTAAGTACACAGTGACCCAAATGCGATTGAAACTAACGTCTAGATCAACCCACAATATCCCATTCATCTTCACTAACGTGTTGCGTCCTGGAGGAAGGGTACACTACACGACGTTGTTCCCACCTCTACGAGTTTTCACATACGAGAACATAAATACCTTGGCATGCATTTCGACTCGCCCTCACTTACATGGCAAGCACACATTCAACACCTTAAACAGACGACACAACCACGACTCGCCATACTAAAAGCCCTCACTGGCACCACCTGGGGAGCACACCATAAAATTTTGCTCCGTTTCTATACAACCAACATTCGCAGCCAACTAGACTATTGTTGCCAAGCATATGCGTCGGCTGCGCCTACTAACCTACAGAGCCTCGAGGTCATCCAAAACAATGCCATGCGACTTGTATGTGGCGCAGTGCATTTCATTCCTATCCTTGGACTTCACGGGGAAACGGGCCTCACAAGCCTAGCCACCAGATGAGACATAATGTGTGCCAACTATCTGTCACTCTGTACCACTGCTCACCAGGCACACCCATACAGATAAAAAATTTAACCCAACAGTTAATCCACATAACTCCCAGCTTCCCAACCAATCACTCGCAACCTTTCCTCACACGGGCTACAAATAACCTCACTATAGACCTCACTCTCTACTCCACAACTCGGAAACCCAACTTACTGTTCCCCCATTCCACCTTGGGTTTATACAACTCCTAATACAGCAATACAACTCGAAGACAACATTCCAAAGTCTGCACCAAACTCAGCCATAACCTCAGTCTTTGTCTCAACAATGAAAAATTGCTACCCAAATACCACAGCGATTTATACAGATGGATCTCGCATCATCATGAACAACGTACCCTCGGTCACTAGCGCTGTATGGATACCGGAATACCATCTCAAGCAGGGATGGCGGCTACCAAACCAACTATTTATTTTCATAGCTGAATTATATGCCTCATACCAAACTCTCCAAATAATCACAACATTGCCAGTTGGGATATATACAATCTGTAGTGACTCCAAGAGTGCGATTCAAGCAATTGCACACTCTTCAACAACGTGCAAGGGGATTGTTTACCCATGTCTTCAACTTCTCCACGAACATCGATTGAACGGCTATGAAACCTCTATCCAATGGGTCCAGCACATTGTGATATACTCCATAATGAACTAGTAGATCAACTAGCCAAAGCAATGCACAACACACCTCACATTACCCGTCATCCAATTCCCCATGTTGCACGTAAAGGAGCCTTCAAAAATACCATCACTCAAGATTTTGTAATTAAATGGAAAACGTCATGCTCACCTTTGTACTATGGGTCCATAAAAAAGAAATGGGGAAACATGGAAACATGTCAGATAAAAAAAACAGAGAAATTGATGTAACGATGACCAGATTAAGGCTGGGACACACCAAACTAGCAGCACACAACTCTAAATACAGAACAGACATCAACGAACTCTGCATCCACTGTAATGTGCCAGAAACAATCAAACACTACCTCCTTTACTGCTTCCAACATCATAGTGCCAGAGTAAACTTCAAACAAGTATTTATAACACTTAAAATACTCTTCACCATTGAACACATATTAGGAGGCGGCGACCACTCGTTGCATGAAAAATATCAAATAGTCAAAGCACTGGCTTAATATCTCCAGTCGACTATCAAATTGGGCCACATTTGACCTGTACCACATTTATACCTG